TAGAAAGCAAGATAGCATGGGTTAGTAAAATGGTGTTTGTGTTTCACATGCCCTGAATCCTTCCCTTGTTTCTGGTAAAAGAACTGCACTTTCTCTTGTGAGAACAGGACCGCTCTGTCATGGTGGTGGTCTTTAATCAAGTGCCTCCCACTCCAGCCTAAAAGAGTAAGCCATCCCTCTGCTCATGTTGAAAAGGTGTGGGTTAGCACACATTCCAGGGAGGCCAAGTAGATTCCTTCTTCAAGGACTGATGTAGATATTAGGAGATAGTGGTGTTCTTATTTCTGAAATTAGAAAAAGTCTTAAACAAAAGGTTGAAGCTTCTTTTTTTTTTTTACCTCATGTAAAAATTTTCCTAAAATCAATTGAGCACTTGAGTTCAACCTTGCCTGAAATGAGAAGGCGTCTGAAAAATAAACTGGCAATATGAAGTATATACATAAAAAAGATCATAGAATATTATGGGGAAAAAAGAGTTAAAAATAATAAAAATAATAAAAGAGATCAAAACATATCTACAGGCAATTAAGATAAACTTGATAATAATTACAGGTATTTCTGAGGTGAAACTTGCAATATTTAAAACAGAAACAAAAACTGAAAATATAATTAAAGGGTTCATTACATTACAGGCAAAATCAATGAAAAGGTGGTCATGTGTCCTTGAAAAGTATCTGAATACGTTTAGAAATCACTGCAACAGAAATAAAAATGACTTATAGAGGAACGAAAAGTAGATAAGCCTATACATCTCATTTGCATGATAAAATGCTGAAAGGCAATGGAACCAAATTCACATTTGAGGAAAAATGTTATGACACAAGAATTTTTACCTAGGCAAATTGTTTTGAATGTACAAATTAAAAGAAAGATATTCTAGATCAGGTGCAGGCTCAACAGTAATCAACTCTCCTAATAAGCAATTACTTATTAAGTAAACAATTAATATTACTTGAATTGAGGAATAAGCCAAAATAAATATCTAAATCACAAGGCAGTTGTAATGTAAAAACACTAAAAAATCTTTCTTTAAGTAGTTTGGACATGAAGCTGAGGAATCCAGTAGAATTGTGATCTTTCCGATTCTTCACAGTTCTAATAAAATATTTCTTGTGATGCAATTTTTCATCTATACTTCATTTAGAATTTCTTTCTTTATCTGATAAGCATTTCAAACAAAAATTTTTAGTATTCTA